GTGTAGGTGGACACCTGGGAGTGTGGTGTAGGTGGACACCTGGGAGTGTGTGTAGATGTACACCTGGGAGTGTGTGTAGATGTACACTTGGGAGGTGTGGTGAAGATGGACACCTGGGAGTGTGGTGTAGATGGACACCTGGGAGATGTAGTGTAGATGGACACCTGGGAGGTGTGGTGAAGATGGACACCTGGGAGTGTGGTGTAGATGGACACCTGGGAGGTGGGGTGTAGATGGACACCTGGGAGGTGGGGTGTAGATGGACACTTGAGATAAGCTTCCAAGGTCATTATTGCTCTCTTCAGATCTAGCTATTTCAAGTCTTGCATCCCCAAGTTCATGAAGACACAATTGCAGCCAGGGATCCAGGGATCCAGATGCCCTGCCCAAACCACAGGGCCATCAGTGAGTCATGGTCACCTCTATTACATCTTTATACGTGCTCCAGATCGCAACTCTTGGTGAGACTGGGTAGCAGATGTGCGATTTATCATTCGGAACAAATTGTTTCAGATGATGAATTCACTCAGCTAGCTGTTCGCCACACCAAGAGAAAAACAGTTGTTGGAGACGTGAGAATGGGGTGCTGGTTTTACTGCTACATTCTGTTGGAAACATACTACAGTGCAGCCAGACGCCTTGTTCTTAATGAAACTTTCTTTTGAGATGTGTAGATTTGCACAACCTTGTAAGAAATAACCCAGAGAGGCCCTGTGTATCCTTCCCCAAGCTTTTCCCCATAGGAGCACCTTGCAAAAGTAGAGTACAATCTGACGCAGAGAGGGGTGTCAACATGGATTGAATCTGTTGTCTCACAGGTCTTCCTGGTTCTGCATGGGCTCCTCTGTGTCTGATGAGCAGTCAGGTCTCTTTAATTTGATCACAGTTTTATGTTCACATCCTCACCACAGCCCAGATACAAAGGTGATCTCCCGACACACTTCCCGTTTGTGGTCCACGTTGGCCTCCTTCTCCCTCTCTATTCCTGGTCTCTTGACACCACTATTCTGTTGTGAATATCCATAATTTGGTCATTTTCATGAAGATTAAACAAATGAACCATAAAAGATGTAACCGTTTCACTGCCACTGAATTCCCTGCTCTTCCCGTTCACTCAGCTGCTCTATCTACAAATGATACTTTTTACTGGCAGTAGAAAACCATGATACATATGTACTCCAACCTGACACTCAGTATTTGAATAGCATCTGGTTTGTTTCATGGCTCTGCTTCGTACTAATAAAGTGTTGTGGACATCAGTGCTGCATCTCTGAGATACATGTCCAGTAGTGAAATTGTTGGGGTTAAATGATTATTATGTGCTGTGACTTTTAAGACATTGCCAACCTGTTTTCTGAAATAATTGTCCCTTTTAAAATATTTCTGCCAAGCAGTGGTGGTCCATGCCTTTAATCCCAGCATTTAATCCCTGCCTCAGGAGGCAGAGGCAGGCGGATCTTTGTGAGTTCAAGGCCAGCCTGGTCTACAAGAGCGAGTTCCAGGACAGGCTCCAAAGCTACAGAGAAACCCTGTCTCAAAAAACAAAACAAAACACACACAAACAACAACAACAACAAAATAATTCCACCAAGAATGGATAAGTAATCTTGATTTCCTATCTTATTTTTGATATATTATGTAAGTGCCCTGGGATTGTTAAATCGGTAAATAAATAAACCATATGTGTAAGTACAGCCTGTAAAGTCAGTTCAAGGAGTCCAAAGGTAAAAAAGCATATAAAAATGCTACGTCAAGCAAGGGCCTCTCCCTAACATCTTTCAGGCATTCAGGTACAACACTGTAAATGCTTTATATGCCTGGTAAAAATATCTAGTGTACCCTAAAGTTTTATCTGGGGTAGACTAAAACAAATACATCTTTTTCTTTTTAAAACAGGATCATGGCCTATAAATTGCTTCAAGCAGCTGTCTGCTCCACCTTGCTAATAATAGGTAAGAGATGACTTTCCTTGTTTGTCACGTCTTTTACAACTGTCAGGGTGGTAACTCCTTCTGACTTGTAAAGATAGGAGAAAATGTGTCTCCTCTGTGGACCTCCAAAGGGAGTCAAGGAAATGTGTCCTGCTGTGGGTTTGAAACTGTCAATGTGGTGAGTGTGCTGTTGCTTTATTCCCAATTACACGTTAACCTAGTAGCGTGCTGGTTTGATTGTCTCTTCCAAAGACGCGTTCTGGCACCCATGAACATAGGAAACATTAAAGCACCTTTTCTAAATTGTGATCCTCACACAGTAGCAGTGCAAGGCGACCTCGACGTCCTTTGGAAGCATGAATTCCTAGACTTCTCTGAGCTCCCTGTTTTAGAGACGGGTCGAGGAAGTCACCACAGTCCAGGTGATTCGCTGCCAAACTGACCCAGGGAATGTGTAGCCTATATCAGACTTGAACTGAATGATCGTTTGTTTTCCTTGTAACCAAATCTGAAAATATGGGGGCTAACAGTTAAGCCAATATGATTTATAAATAGTTCTGATAAAGATCCTTAATTCTGAATAAATTCATTTCTTTCAAAAGTTTAAGACTTATGCAAAATAACATTTTTACACAAAGCTCCTCCCATAGATAGAAGCAACTCTTTATATGTGTCTATGTGTATACTTAGCCGTTAATTTATAAGCTCTCAAACACAAACACACCTCTCTGCAGGACAATTGATTTGACTAACTTTGTTTTAACAGAAAAGAAAATGAAGTTACATAAGTAAGGCTCCAGACAAAAGCAATCTGAGTACTGGAAATAAGACTAGAGAATTATTTCCTGTCCTAGGTCAGCCCTTCAGACCTCAAACCTGTTCTATTTGCAAGCTGTTGAAGCTACCATATTTAAAATTATGCTCATTCATTGCACGAATGACTAGTTTAACTGACATCTTCTAAATTAGACAACTCTGGGAAGGACGGTGTGGAGTCAACTCTCTTTGCTTCTGTCTCAGTTCATGAAAAAAACAAAGCCTTTTCTCCTGTGCCGTGGAACAATCTTTGTACACTGTAAATATGTATTCACTTATTGTTAATAAAAAGCTGATTGACTGATGACTAAACAGGATGTTTAGAGCAGAGAGAATGCTAGGAGGAAGAAGAACCAAGTCAGAGGAGTTGCCAGTCAAAAGAAGCCACTGAGGAGGTAAAAGCCACGAGCCTCGGGGCACACATAGAGAAATAGAAATGGGTTAATATAAGTTATAAGAGCTAGTTAAAAGCAAGTCTAAGCTATAGGCCAAATATTTATATTAATATTAAGTCTCTGTGATTATTTGGGAAGCAGCTGGCAGGGCAAGCTGATTGACGATCCAGACAAAAAATCTCCATTTACACACCTGTATTTCCCAGGAGCCCTTTCTATCGTAAAATAAATAAATTATTTGAAAGTTTATTTTTATCATTTACACAGGTAAATTTTCTTCACAGAAAATTAGCTATGTAACAAATGACTTCTCCCCTGAAACCTGACTAAAGGTGGGTAGGGAGAAAGCCCCATTATCCATTTTCAAAAATGATGGCGAACTTCACTGGTCATTAAACTCAGAAACAGAGTTCTCAGAGTATCTTACTGATCCTGTTTTCAATGTAGTAACGTAGACATTCCCTGGATAGGGAATTACAAGTACAAGTGCACCATTTGATTTAAATGATGATAATAATAATAATAATTAATAATAAATACCTCCTTTGAACATGTAGGCCAAGAACTGCCTTCCCTTAAACTAAAATCAGCAAATACTAACTCTGCCATCTAAATTCCTTTTATGCATCAGGGACTTGTAGTTTAAGTTCTCCTGATCACTCTGAAAATTAGTCCCATGTCCCCATTTCATCACAAGGAAACTGGGAAGGTTAAGAAGTGATGTGAGCAAACTGCACAGCCAGTCCAGGTGGGCAAACTGCACAGCTAATCCCAGGTGGGCAAACCACATGGCTAATCCCAGGTGAGCAAACTGCACAGCTAATCCCAGGTAAGCAGACTGCACAGCCAGTCCAGGTGGGCAAACTGCACAGCTAATCCCAGGTGGGCAAACCACATGGCTAATCACAGGTGAGCAAACTGCACAGCTAATCCCAAGTGAGCAAACTGCACAGCCAGTCCAGGTGAGCAAACTGCACAGCTAGTCCCAGCTGAGCAGACCGCACAGGTAGTCCCAGGTGGGATGCTGCAGCCATTTCACACTGTGTGCACGAGCAACCCCTTCATCCTGCTACATCCCACGTTCATTGCAGCACTACAGTCAGGGTTGAAATGGGCATCAGAACACAGGCAAGACATTGTCCTGGAGAACCAGACCCAATAAATTGGCCTCTGGGTCCTCACCGACCAGGAGTCAGCAAGCTGAGTGATCATATCTGAGAAGGTAACAGACTCAGGCAGCAGCTTTCCCAGACAGTTCTTCATTCTAGCACTACTCAGAGTAGTGCTAAATTCAACATGTATCTATCTCTACAGGACATCTATTATCAAACATGAGGAGTAAGTATGGGCTCTATGGCCATACCACCCTGAACACACCAGATCTTATCTGATTTTGGAAGCTAAGCAGACTCAGGTCTGGTTAGTACATGAATGGGAGACCTCCTAGGAATACCAGTTACTCTGGCAAAAGAAAAAAGAGTAAATACGGTAACTGGGGTATAGCTCAGGTGGTGGAATGTCTGTGTCGTATGCCCTGAAGCCCTGGATTCAGTTCCAGCACTATAGAAACCTAATAGTGTAGTGCATTCCTGTAATCCCAGCACTTGAAAAAAGATCAAAAGAAGTTCAGAATCATCTTTGGCTACAGAGTGAGCTGGTGGCCAGCCTGGTCTGCAAGGAACTCTATGGGAGATCAATGTATTCGAAATGCATTTTCCTGGTAAGACAATCTTTGAATATTATTAAGGACTAAACGGAGTAGGGAGTGGTAGTGCACATCTGCCATCCCAGCATTCGTGAGACAGAGGCAAGAGGACCATGAGTAGGGACTAACCTAGGCTACATGACAGACCCTGTCTGAAACAAAGCAATGACTGCGGGAGTATTTGGTTGATGATCCTGGTCGCTTCCAATTTGCTTCCTTAAAGATAGCTTCCACTACTGTCTGCTAAAATAAAAATCAGACTTCTTTCCCTTAGCATTTATGACTTTCTGTTTTGACTTGACAGCTGGAGTTAACCCATGTGTGAAACAGCTTGGAGGTCTATGTCCATGTTGTTGACCTGTGATCATGTCTGTCCATAAAGTACAAGGATGTCTGCTAGCCATAGACAGGGGAAAAAAATCAAACACATTTGGCCTGTTTGTCTCTGGCCATTCCAGCCCTTAGTTCTCACTCACCAGTTAGTAAGCCAAGACAATCTGCCTCAAAAAACTTTCTATCTTTTTATTTTATTTTATTTTATTTTGAGACGAGATTTCTTTTTGTAGCTTTAGAGCCTGTCCTGAAACTTGCTCTGTAGACCAGGTTGGCCTTGAACTCACAGAGATCCACCTGCTTCTGCCTCCAGAGTACTGGGATTAAAGGCATGCACCACCACCACCCAGAAAGACTTTATGTATATTGACAAGGGCCTTTAGGCTCACACTTTCTTCTTCAGGACCTTGTCTGCATTAGTTCCTCTCTGCCAGCCTTCTTCCTGGCCATAGGAGTGGCCCGACGCAGCAACCCCTTGAAAGGCTCTAATTCTTTGAAGAGTTGGTATTTACTGATAAAATTTTTATTTTATGAGATTTTATTATTATAACCTTACCTGCATAATTGTATTTAAAAATGATTAAGGTAGCGTTGCCTTACGTGGCTCAGAATGGCCTGGAATTCTCTGTGAAACTCAGGAGATCTGCCTGTTGCCTCAGCCTCCTAAACACTGCAAGTACAGGTGTGGACCTGCACTGGTGTAGGCGTGGCCGATACTCTTAAGGGCACGCACAGTGACCACAGATAACAGTGACAGGAAATAACTTAATCGGAGAAAAAAGTGTCGTTGCTGGAGACCAAATTCATTAGGTAGTTGGGTTGGTATTGAGAAACTGTTTCCCTGTTCTTGTGGCACCATTTGTTGTGACCCTGAAAATACGGATTCCATTAACACACATATCCAGGCAATGGTGCCACGGTCACTGACATAGTGTATGAAATGCCACCTCTTAAGGGTTTTCAACTTTCCTGCCCATGTGATTAAAAACTAGTGAAACTTTTGCCCCTCCCAAAACATACCCAAGAAACTGCAGTATGTCTACCTGCATGTGAGTGTCACTTTGTGTGTGCCCAGAGCTGGAACAGACTTCAGTTAAACTCAGGGGGTGCTAGCTGGCAAACTTCTTCACATATGCCTATAATACCAGCACTGCGCAGGCTGTGATGGGGGCATAGCAGTGAATTTGAGGCCGTCGTGGGCTACACCGGCAATTCTCAGGTCAGTAGAGTGGAAGTTTCTCAGCTAAAAGTTCAGATGTGAAGAATCCTGTTAAATATTTCAACACATCAAAATTGGAAACCCAGTCCATAATTCAGTCTACCTTTCTGTTTTCCCAGCTCTGTTCTTCCTGCCCTTGGTGTCCCCACCAAATCCTTTCTGGCACTGTTCCTTTGTTCTACTTATCACCTTTTATGACTCTCATCATTTGTTTTCTCTCCTTTTCTTCAGTTCTCCCCTTTCCTTTGACCCCTTCTGACTCTTTCTTTCTCTGTTTTTTTTTAATTATTTTTTCCTTTTGAGATGGGGGTCTCACGAATCCCACGTTAACAGCCCCCAACACACACACACACACACACACACACACACACACACACACACACACACACACATTTTGTTTTCCAAGTGCTGAGATTACAAAGCATAGGAAACAGCCACCAGACTCTCTTGTTAGTTTCTTGAGACAAACTTTCACTATTTAGGCCAAGTTGACCTCAAAATGTTAGTCTTCCTGCCCCAGCCAGGAATTAGAGGCACACATGACCATGTCAGA